AGACTAAATCATCTTTCAAAATTGGTCAATTCTAAGATTGACAGACTTTTATAAACATGCTTACATTATATCTTTCGCTACCGAATATGGGAAGACAGATGCTGTCTGTTGAATTATTATTATAAAACTGACTTTCGAATAGTACTCTCCACTTCTAACAGATAATACTTTTTCAAAAAGATAATGAAACCAGACATATGAGTTTCCTTTTTAGGATAATGAACCAGACATATGAGTTTCCATTTGAAATTTTTGCTCAGATGAAATATTTTAGTCGAATAGTATTGAAACAAAATCCACATATACCATGAAGCGTAAATAGGCGGATTTTAACTTTGCCTTATTTACCTGCAGTACACCTTTCTTTAAAAAGTCACAGAGTTTGTCTTCTAATCTTTTAAATATAGCGCACTTGCCCTATTCTTAGTCAAATCCAAAGCATTATCAATAACGCTTTGGTGCAAAACTCTCTATTGAAGGGCGAGTTTTGCGTATGTTTAGAGTTTATGATAAGGCTAACAATTAGTGGCTAATAGACTCCAAAGGTCTAGCGAGAAAGAAAATCATTTTTTTGGGGAAACGCTGCTACATATGGATTCAGACAAAATGAGCATTCGAAACGATCTATTTTTCTTCTTAAAATGACACTACACTAGATTATCTCCCCTTTTGGCCTTAATCGCTGAATTACATAAGCTATTAGTTTGAAGTTCTATGTTGTAAGCTGATTAAATGGTGACTCTGGCCTATAGCAAGACAGCTCGTTCGCCAATGAGGTGGACATAAAATGCCAAGAAGACCTACTCGCGGCTAAATTGCCGCATTTAATCAAACTAAAGCGCCACATTTGATCTATTTAGCTTCACTTTGCCAGGTTTGAAGCCAGTGGCATATTACCCTCTGTAGTGGTATGCAGAATGTACATTGATATCGGCTATATTATAGAAGCAGAGTCAAAATCATGATTCCGTTGAAGTGGTTTGGAGTTAATTGACAAACTAATTTAAAAAAACCATATCCATTTTTCTAGTAAAGGAATGGAATGGCAGAGACAAAATTTCAATTTATCCTTTTCTAATAGAATGTGAAATTTTGTCCTTACCATCGTTTACTCACTCTAACTTTACAGCAAGGGCTTATTGTACAAACCCCGTCATTCCACTATTTCAGACTTACCCATGATTTTGTCCACTGTAAAATACTGAGGTAAGGCGCTATCTTGGGGAATGAATATAATTTTCGCAGTGAGCTATACGTCATCCTACCAGCAACGTTGTAGCAATAAAATAAAATTCTCACATTCCGGAAAAGTTTCTATCGAGTTTTATTCGGCCCTCTAAAGTTTCAACTTTAAATTTGATTTAATTCGGACATATGTATTGAATAAGGAAACTATTTCTCTGAAGGAAGACTTCTTTTTCTAAATGGTATAATGTGCTGCCAAAACTTCCGGTCTTAGATAATTTTTGAGTGTAAAAAAACGGCACGTTTATCTTAATGAAGGAAAGCATCACTTTTGTACAGAAAAGTTTGCAATGTTTATTTGAGTGGACAGTTTTTGATAGTCTTCAAATATTAATGATTTCGAATTGGACCTAAAGTTT